TAAGATGCTTATTCAAATAAGATTGAACCCCAACCCTAGACCTCTGCCGGATCAATTTTGACCATTCTTTCTTTAATATGTCTGTTGCAAATCCTCTCAATTTATGGAAGTGCAATAGTAAGTCGCCACGCTTTTAATTGATTCATCATTTTGTCAATAACACCTCAGAAAGCCCAAGGTGATGTCTTCAAATAGCTTTTTTTGTCTGATCCACAGACCAAAACCTAAGGATATTTAATTTTCAATGCTATTTAACAGAGAAAAGCAGCAAATCCTCACATCTGCACAGCTGGAACCAGCAAATGTTGGGAATTTTAGTTTAATTCAATAAAACATTTACCAAAATTGTTGCATGTTGGGTTGAAACTGTATTTGAGCCTCACTAAAAATTCAACTTTTTATGTAGCTTTCACTTTCAGTTTCTCAATTCAGTCAATTCGCTTCATCCTAAAGATTCACTTTTAAGGTGACCGTTCAGTGCACAGTACAGCTGGAGACGAGCTGAAAGCTGAACTACATAAAAAGTTTTAGCTGAGGCTCAATAAGTTTCAGGTCATGCACAGTGAATTCAGATTCATAATATTCATCATTTAGGCTTTCAAGTTTTTGGAATTCAGTTTCAAACTTAATAGAATCCAAATTCAACATCTAATGCATCAAATTTAGTTCTAATGAATTCTCAAATTCAGCGTTTCTACTGGTACACAAATATGCAGCCCATAAAGCTCCACCCATCGCTCCTCAGTGGCTAGCTTATCATGGCTGGATAAAATGCTTTGATCATTGTGCAGGAAGTAATTTTAAGAGCTTTCTCCCTGCCTCCCACACAAAGGTGATCATAATTGTGGGATCTCTGGAATCGTGTGAGGGCCGTAATGGAGCAGCAACCCAGTGCAGCAGAGCTCAAGTATGAGAGTTGCTAAATTTGACTTCCCGGGGCGCGGGGGGCTTTACATTCAAACTCTTTAGCACTCTAATGCTGGTGCAGGCAGACCTGCATTTCTACCTGTACAAGTCTCTCTCACTCTGTCTCTCTCTCCCCCCATGGCCTGTCAGCGCGCTGTCATGACAACCAGTTCAGATTAGCAGATCATTAGCAATAAGCCCTGGGAATGGATGTTAATAATAACTGTTAATTATTACGCTTTAATGTTTTTTTTTCACACCTTAATGCCTGTTTTTACTGCACTGTGGTATTTTGCAATTATTCTTTCATGGACATGTTTTACTGCCCTTTTATCTGCAGAAAAGTTATTATTATGATCTACAGTATTTCTGGCAACGTGGTTGTAGTAGTACTTAAATCATATTCTCAGACTTTTCTGCATTACATTAACATCACAAGCAACTAGATAAACAAGTACATGTCACGCGTTACTTCTGATGCCATTCACCATACCCGTCACACCCCTTCTTCTTAGAGTCTGAACTCAGTCACACTGCTATGCTGACATGGCACACTGACTCTTTACAGTGGTGGCTTTTCAGTCTGTGGAGGATAAATGTTTCTCACAACTTTTGCTCAGAGTCACTACATTCTGAGTTTAAGCAGCACTATTGAGAGGCTAAATTGTCAGTGAAGAAATTAGTCTACCACACAGTGCAGTCAGCATCACACGCTTCACTGATCTGAGTTCAGTAGCAGATCTGCCATTAAGTATCCGCACATTGGTATTCAGTGTAGGCTAATTAGACTGTCCAGAGATCAGTGAGGAAGCTTAGCTCTGTCATACGTCTACGTCACTCATATAAGCACCTTGGAGAATTCAAGCATCTTATCTGTTCTTGTAATTTTTAGTAGTCTAAAATGAGTTAGTTTCACTTTGTCATGTTTTGTGGGGCCTCGGCTGTTTCATGCTCTCTCTCTCTTCTCTCTCTCTCTTCTCTCTCTCTCTCTGTTTTTTTAAGTAGCATATTTGAAATGCTGCTGAAGTGTTTTGACTTTTAATGCGTTGCAGTCTGGGTATACTAACATGATGCATAAGAAAAAAACTTGCAGTGTTTTTTGGGTGTTCTGTGTGTTAAGTTTGCCATGGCCCATCAAACACCTAATGTTATATGGGCTTACGCAAACAGTATCGTGTAATGTGTAATGCCTTAGTCGCTGATGTGGAAAAAGCTGTGATTATCTTCATTTTCAGCTCGAGTTTTGCCTCTGTGCTGGTAAAATGAAACAGGTTATAGTTAAAGAGTTGAGATCCTCTGTCTGCCTCTATTCATATGAGATGTCTTACTGTGATCCTTAATAACAAAACAAACATCTCTGTCAGTCAAAAGCTCACCGTAGAGTTCATTGAGTTGTATTATATTTTTTAACCGGGAGCACCTGCCAGTCATCACAACTTCCCCATACCTGATACCCTGGCGCCCCCTATGCTAGCAATACATTTGTCTGTTTTCTATAAAATTCTGAATTTCTACACTCTTCTTGCAGTTGCCAACATAATAGCATACATTGTCAGACTGTAACACACATTAACAGCGCCCACACAATGTTACGGTAAAAGCTTCTGCGTGGTTGTCAGTGTATTTCTCTGTGAGCTCTTTGTGACACCAGAGAACAACAATAAACGCATAATATGAAGTAATAAAGTGCTGCATTGCCTGCTGTCACTCACCATATTATGTCATTTTATATAGATATAATACAAGGAATAAATAGCATTTAACAGAAAATAAAGCAGTCCAGACAAGTCTATAGGTATTTCTGTGAAATAAACAGATACAGATAGTTGCTTACTCTTCTATAGGCAACATAATGCACAATTAATCACAAAAGCAAACTCAACATACAGACACAAGTATGCACATCTATACTATCTACTATCATCCCATATCAACAGTCGGGTACTTGAACCTCTCTCCAGACTGTTAAATCACTAGACTGTGTGGTCTGTTTTGGCCATGCTTAATTAGTTTCTGCTAACCACAAATTACCACTGTTATCACTGAATATTTCCCACACCCAATTTAAAACTATGATCCCATGCCCTGATTTTCTGTTGGAAGAGTAACATATTCAGGAGAGGACTTCCACCGAGCACTAATGTAATTCGAAGTGACACAACAGCATGAAACGATACAGCCATCTTTCAATTTGCTCTGAGGGGAAGTTAGGTCTAAGGATTTCGTGAGGTGCATCGCCAAATGAGGATATCAGTTATTCTGGGCTCTAGCAAAATGTGCGTACAGTTGTTTTGGAGGATTATGAAACCAATAGACCCTCCTCAGGAAATGCCAGAGGTAAAAAACAAGCTGATCTGCAAACAGGAAGAGGGGAATGAAGAGCGATCGAGGTCAAGGAAAAGGGGATAAATATGATGATTAAGTGATTCTGTCGGAGAGAGAGGGAGGAGAGGTAGAGGAGATTGAGTGGCTTTAGGGAGACTGAATTTGATAGAAGCTGTCAATAAGTTAGAGCTGTGAGGAGATTAATCCGACACCCCATCAGAAAAAAAATGATACGGCGAAATGGAGAAAAGTAAAGGTAGCTCAGGAAGATATGAAGAAATAACAAGATAGTGTGGGATCTTGAAACGAGGAGTCACACAGACAAAAACAATAAGAAGACAGAAGGATAGAGAGGGAGGCAAAGAGAGACAGCGAGGGAGGTAGTGAGACATATAAAGATGGATCAAGCACCCACTGAAGTAGAGAAGGAGAGAGTGATTGAGAGGGAGGAGGTGTGGAAAAGCAGCCATGATTAGATGGATTCTACTGGACCATGAGATTGATGACTCTGCTTCAGAAAGAAAAGGAGAGAGGGGAGGGAAGAGATAGCAGAAACGGGGGAATCACAGAAAAGTCCTGATGAAAAGAACCATCGCGCCCCGCAAGACAAAATCTAGAGTATGATAAAAAGAATGAGCCGGTCTTATCTTCCAGCCCTTCCATCTTTAAAACAGAGCGCAAGCAGCATCTTTGCACATTTCAGTATCTCTAATAGGATCTATAACACTTTTTTTTTTTGTTCATCATCAGTTATGCATGGTTTAAAAAAAATAAAGTATTTCCCCAGAATAAGAATTGCTGCTACATTAAAGGACATTATGTCTGTAGCAAATAAAAGTCTGTTTGTAAAGAAGGATTAGATTTAGTTTAGCTTTCAGACAACCAAAATCCTGTGTATTTGTTATCCATCAATGCCCTTGAATGCAGACATTTAATTACAGGAAGCACGCAGCATTTGAGTAGAATAAATGCATGTTTTTTCCCCATATTTAGAGCTTAAATTCATCCTCTTATTGTCTGTCAGTGTGTCCAATTAGAGCAGTGATTCTAAAAGTTCCACAGCAGTGCCTGTCCAGTTAACGAAGGAGTAGCTCATTATAGAGTAAAATATGTAAAATCCACATGCCAAGTTCAGTTTGACATTGAGGTATGGAAAGGAGGGGGAGGGAAGGAGTAAATGGGGAGTGAGTCCAGGAGAATGAGAGCAAGTGGATATTAATCTTTTCCCATGAGAACGTTTCACTTTCACCTTCTCTGCCTTGATCCTTCCCCCCTCTCTGTCTCACCCCTCCTCCTCCTCCTCATCCTCCCCCCCTCTCAGACTGCCGGAGTGGTTCTGATTTGCCAGCCTGTGTCTGGTCCAGGGGGGATAAGAGGGAGATAAACAGCGTTTGCAAACAGAAAGTGGTCAGAGCTGAGGCAGAGCAGGCCCTATCAATGAAGAGAGTTTCCTGGGATATTCACTTTCTTCAGACCACAGAGCTCTTATCAGAGGCAGTGATAGAAAGATAGGGTAACTGGTTGTGGCACAGTGCTGCCTGCCTAGCCAGTGGACTGATGTTATAGGCTATAACGAATAGGGAATAAAGAATATTGTTATATTTTTCACTCGCCTTGCTGCTATAAATGCCTTATCATGAAAATAAGTTAAAATAGAAATATGTTAGAAGTTGTACCTCCAGTCAACAAGCTTATCTTACTGCTGCAGTTTCATTATGTAGTTATGATTTACGTCGCCACTGACTGCCTGTTTTCTCATCTTTTGTTAGATGCTGTCACAGAGAGCTGAAGGCATTCCTGCGAGCTGCGATGGGACACAGTAAGGCCGTGGACACGATAAGAAATCTCTGCAGTGCTCCTTTTCAGTCACAACACTAACACTAGACAATACAAACGTCCATCATCTAAAATTAATGTCAGCTGTGTTGCGGAGGCAGCCTCAAGCTGCGCCGCCAGATCTAAGACAACCCATGGAGGCGTGGCCTCAATGTTTCCAACGCTGCTGCAACTGGTAACGAACAGCGATGCCTTCTAAGGTCTCCTGCTTATACTTGCTGACAGTGGTTTGCTGGGCCAGCGCTCTGTGGTACCTGAGTGTGTCCCGCCCTTCCACTTCCTATGTGGGACAGCTGACTATGCCTATACGCAAAACACCCAAGGTGAACAAGAACTCCACGTTCAGCAACATCCACACGCGCTCGCTCAACCCGCACGACTTCGGCTACCTCATCAACGAGGCCAAGAAGTGCGAGGCAGAGCCCCCGTTCCTTGTCATCCTGATCAGCACCACTCACAAGGAATTTGACGCGCGTCAGGCCATCCGAGAGACATGGGGTGACGAGAGCACGTTTCCAGAAGTGCGCGTGGTCACGCTCTTCCTGTTGGGCCGCAGCACTGATCATGTCCTCAACCAGATGGTGGAGCAGGAGAGTCAGATCTTTCATGACATTGTAGTGGAGGATTTTATTGACTCTTACCACAACCTGACGCTTAAGACACTGATGGGGATGCGCTGGGTAGCCACATTTTGCTCTAAGGCTCAATATGTCCTCAAGACGGACAGTGACATCTTTGTCAACATGGAGAACCTCATCTACAACCTATTGAAGCCCACCACCAAGCCCAGGAGGAGGTACTTCACCGGCTACGTCATCAATGGTGGGCCAATCAGAGACATGCGCAGCAAGTGGTACATGCCCAGGGATCTGTACCCAGAGAGCAAGTACCCACCATTCTGCTCCGGCACCGGCTACGTCTTCTCGGCAGACGTGGCGGAGCTCATATACAAGACCTCCTTACACACCAGGCTGCTGCACTTGGAGGACGTGTACGTCGGCGTGTGCCTTCGTAAACTGGGCATCCACCCGTTCCAGAACAGCGGCTTCAACCACTGGAAGATGGCCTACAGCCTTTGCCGCTACCGCCGGGTGGTCACTGTCCACCAGATCTCCCCAGAGGAGATGCACCGCATCTGGAATGACATGACCAGCAAGAAACACCTTAAATGTTAGCAGGACTTTTAGCACAAGCACCGGCAGGAGAGTCGGGGAGGAATTAAATGTCCTCTTATTTCCTGCTTCTCTGTAATTGGCAAATACTGTAAAGCACGTAGCATTGAGCAAGGAACAGTATTGATGAAGCATCCAGGACTTTGTCCAGGCACTGATTGCTTTACCAGGAGGCCATGGCCAAAGCAAACTCCTCTGTTGTCTGCGTCCTCCCTTACTTCAAGGTGTTGATGAGAGCTGCTCAGCTCAGACTCACAAAACATGCACAAAGTTGGAAATATGTTTTCCAAAAATGTGCAAAATGTTCCGCCGGTTTGTTGTCGTCGCCAGCAGCACTACGATTTTTATAGGACAGGAAGCAAGGAGGCTTGTGTGAAAGCACTCATTTATACAAGACACAAACTGTCCCCAATTATTCAACTGCACATTACATAAATGCCAACACACTTCTTTGAACCCAGACATTCGCCTCTTGGGTTAATCACAAGCTCTAAATATGAATGTTCCTCATGTATTTTCAGTTGTTGTACTCTCTGAACAAGGTGTTAATGTTGGATGTACTGTCTGGCACTGCAGCAGCTGTCGTCACCGTGAGGACCATGGTGAGTTTGCAGCGTAATGACTCAATTAAATCATCTTGGAAAGCAGCAGAATTAAGAGCATTAAAGGGGTATCTTTATCTCTATTTTCAACCTGGACCTCATTTTCTGTGGGGTTCTTTTTGTCAAAGTGACTAATGGGGATAGGTTTTGAATTTAGTCCAGTATTGAGTGAGAGGGCTGCAGACTACAGCAATAGCACACCGTCAAAATCTGTCCATTAAAAGTGCTTGTCTTTGCCACAGCTCAGATTGTGATTATAATATATATCTTAACATATATATGACAACATTATGGAAAGGAGCCCACAGAGAAGGAGAAGTCTCGCTCTGAGGTGACTTGTTGTAGGATGTCAACAGTGGAAACGTGACCGCACTAATGTCAGCCGGGTTTGTTGTGTAGGAGAACAGAAAGAATAGCCTGTATTTATTTGAGCCGGAGCATACGGATAAGACTACAAATTGCAGAGTGGACAAGGAGAGAAAAAAGCTTTAGACTGTGGTGTTCTGTAGGAGCTGTGACCCTATGCCCACTAGGCCTGCACAAGATGAGAAAAATCTGTCACGTGCAATAACACTGTTCAATATTGCGATGACAATATGATAAATAAACAAATATTGAAGTGTGTATATTAGCTATACAGTTATGTCAGCCTTCTTGTCCTTAAATTCAGAACTGGATTAGAATATTTTAAATAAATTCTTGTTTCTAGTCAGAAACAGTAATGTTTACAACAGCAAAGTCATAATATAAACTCAAAAATATCTCACGGGATACACATCTAAAATGTCAATAAAATAAATAATATTCCTGACATCAAAATACTGAATGAAGAATCATTTCAGTCATTCATCCTGTCCTCTGATGTAACACTGGTAGAGAGGAGAGTCCTGGTTTGCCAGCAGCTCAGATTAGAACAAGAAATTGCCACATTGTAACACATGTGGTGAACTAAACTAGACTACAGACAGACAGCTTTTATTTTAGCTTGTTTGTAACAATTTGGTACTAGCTGAGCTAGCGCTGTGCTTGTGTAAAAGAGAGACTGCAGACAGAGCAGATATCATGTCTCTACAGGTTTACATGTTGATGCTTGTAGAACAGTGTATTGATAAAGTATTGGCTTTTTCCGAGTGCTTTTATTGCACTTACGGTAACAAATGGAGTTTTCGCTAGAGTTTTTTGTTCACTTGACTTCACTGTCTCCACTGCGGACTCTGTGATCAGCTGTCTTTGCTCTGCTTTGTGTGTGTGTGTGTGAACAAGCTGCAGCCCATAATAAATACTTCAATCTTTGGCTCCCATTTAATACCACATTTCTGTACACATCCCCACAGAGGAAATGTCACAGACCGGTTCAGGCAAAAGTAAATAAAGTAAAATGTAAACTTTTCTGCGGGCTTTCCATAATTTTAACTTATAATAAAGTCTAACAAGCACTTTTAATCGATTTTCTTGGTGCGCACTTGCCCACAAGGATTATGTTGAAGCCGGCTGCAGGCTGTAGCTCTCCCTCAGATTCAAAACCTGTCCCCATTAGTGACTTTAACACAAAAACATGAGATAATAAAGTTCAGGACTGGACATGTTATATTCTTTTCAGAATCAGACATATTTTCTTACAACAGATTCCACAGATATTTGTATTGTGCAATGAAAAAACATTTCTTCACAAAGTATCCGGACAGTGTGAAGATATCGGCTGCTTGCATTCCCTAAGTGAATGTTACTTCTGTTAATGTGTAACGTGCAGTTATTTGTCTCAGGCAGTGCTGCTGCGAGCAGGCTGCAGAGTATTATATTTTCTATTACTTGAACACGAAGGAGAACAGATGTACTGTACAAGCGGTGTGTACCAAGGACAAATATTACATTTCTGAGTGCTTTCTTCTTTTCATTTACTTGAGATTAAATAAAGCGCTTTTATAAGACTTGATACTGTATTTATTACAGAAAACAATATAAAAGTTTTTATTGTGCTCAATTTAATACACATAATCTGTAAGTGAATATACCCACGTAACTAGATTACGCTCTGCGATGCTTCATTGTGGCTGTTGGAAAACATGAGGCGTAGATATGAGAGCGTCTCATTAGGGCCGCTGTTCATTCAGCAGCAGCTGCGCCCAGGTTGAAGCAGGTCCCAACTCTCTACACGTCACTGATGGGCGAACGCTGAGCGCTGCCGTAATCCCTGTGTGGCTCTGGAAACAACACAGGCGCATCCTTTTCTATGCAGGTGTTGGTGTGTGTAAGTGGCGAGCAGCCTGCAAACAACGTGTGATTAAATCAAATGTAGCATCTGTGTAATTGACAGCTGAATGGCTGTTTTCAACCGCAATGTCTTAACAAGAGGAATTACAGAGGCAAGTGGATTTTCATGTTAAAATACAGCACATGAAGCTTGTTTTTATTGTCAGTGTGCCTCATAGGTTAGCAACCGTTTGCTGCTGATCATCTCCTGTCTCCCTCTTAATTGTTAATGACAGACGCCTGCTTTACTTTATAAACATAAAGTGAACAAATGCATTATTAGAAATGCAAACCCCACAGTGGAAATCTTGTATTGTCTTCATTGGATGTTTAGACAGTCACTGTACTCCTCAGCACAGATTTTGTCCAATTTGTATTTTTATCATAAGTCAATGAGGGTTAATGCTCTGGTTCTCCCTGATGAGGCTTTGATTTGACATTTGCCATCTACAGAGACACTAAGTGGTCATCAAAGCAGCTTCATTAGTAGTTAAACACCTGTAAGATCATTATTATTTAGTGACCAACCTTGAATGTCCCCATCTGTATGGGGGTTAGTTTGTAAGAGACAGTACAGAGCAAGCTCGTGAGCATACTGTTACAAACAGACATCACACGCAGGCTACACACATGGAAAATGAAAGAGGAGATAATGTGTTATATCATTATAATTCTCAGCCCACTGTAGATATTTCTGGTGGGTCTAATAATTCCTTTGTGTTCATGCGTCATCACTGGTGAACCTGTTAGTGAAGGTTACTATCTGCCAGGAACTGGGTTTTTTTAATGCTCTGAAATCTTGTTATCTTTCTTGGTTTTCTTCGAGATGAAAACAGAAAAATGCCGTCACTGTCCATTTTTGATCCCTTAAAAAGACAGAAAAATTAAATATTGATTGTTAATTTGTTTTTCCTCAGCTTAAAGACCTGAGGTGTACCGATACATATGTGTGTGTAGGCATGCGTATGGACAACTCTGCATCAAACAACGTCACTATAATTAGGTTGCTCTCGCCTCTCATGCCTACAGGTGTACGTGTGTGTGTGAATGTGTGTGCCAGTCTGCGTGCGCGCATTGGATTTGTGAACTCTTTGTTCCAGGCATCATCATCATCCGAGGGAGCAGCGACACTCCTGTGGGATTTGGTACCGGAAAAATGAAAATGTCTTCTGTTCTGTACTTGCAAAGATAAACATGAAAATGTGGGAAGCACTTGTGGCGAGGCTCTTTCCTCAAACAGTTTTGCTCGAAAAATCTTGTGGGAGCTTGTAGGCAGAAAACACACCATTGCTGTTATGATTTCTTTATAATGAAACTATTCCCGGTTGGCGCCTTACGTCAAATACTTCTTTTTGATCAGTTTCTAGAACAGTTTTCCAAACTAAAATATAATTGAAACACTTTCATTCTGGTGTATGAGTTCAGGGTTGTTCTTCCGGTTCATTGTGCATTAAAAAAAAAAACTAACATTCGCATTATGTTATCAGTTAATGACTTTATTTTCTTCCTTAAATGTACAAGTACAGTGTGCCCAGTCGTATACATGTTAAATAATTGTTATTCACAGCTTCTTATCCTCACTGCTGTGTTTTGCATTCCTGTGATCACCCCCTATGGCATATGCAATTTGATACAATATGCTGAGTAATTGAGAGTCTGCTCTGTAATTGGCCAAACAACCCAGTGGTAGAGCATTTAAAAGGCTAAAGCTTGGGGAAAATGAAAAGCGAGTGATTATTCTGGGGCTTGTGGTAAATGAACCTCATAACGAGCGAGGCGGAGTGCGAGACAATTGGGAACACTCAGATTTCAAAACATAGCATTGGAAGGCAGGCCTGTGGAGCCTTGAGTTAAAATAAAATAAAAATATTGGGGCACAGAGAAGACCTCGGTTCGGCATCGTAGCTTGGTTAGATGGTGTGAAGGCTGGAGGCAAAAGTCTTAATCCGCTTTACAAACATCTGGTGAAAAAAGCAGCATTTTTATTCATCCTTGTGTACATATTCATATTTGCATGCATATTCTTTTTCCTTAAATACGTTCTCCACAGCCTCTCAGTTAGCGTGACCTCCTCATGACCCGTCCTTTCAGGCATAGAGGATGCGTGTTTACGAGGAAAATAGCCATGGAATAAATTGGCGGTGTGCAATCTGCCATCTGTGCAGGCGCAGTTATACCAAGGTGAAAGAAAAAGGCTCATTGAGAGCAGCTGGGGAGCCGCTGTACAATCCTCTTCTTCCTCCAGGAAAAGTGCCATCAGAGCGATGCTGGGATGCATCACAAGGCTGCAGCTTCCCTCAAATGATAATAACCACTTGATGTGCGAGTGGCCTGACTTTCAACGTGGCCTGAAGTGATGCTGGATGTTCTTTTGTTGCTTGATTACCGGCGGTGGTGTTCAGTTTTGTGTAAGTGTGTGAATGTAGGCGACAAGTTTGCTTTAAAAAAAAAGATTTGCTTTCTGTTTTCATTTGGACACAAAAATCTATTTTCTGTATTTTTTCCTCAGCAGTCTAACTCTTCCTGACAAACAGAAACCACCCCTCTCTGAACAGGGTACTTGGTTTCTTCCAGTTAGAGACTACATTTCAGTCTGCAGCAGTAGACCTTTTTCACAGCAGCCATTATGATAGAAAATAGTAGGGTAAACACAGGTTAGCAATGATACTAATTAAGGT